GCGGGCGTCTTCGATCATTATTCGCGTGTCTTGACAGATGCCTGCCGTCTGTGTGCGTGGGCCCTCGCCCGTTTCCCCGTGCGTGCACGGCGAACGCTCAGAATGTCAGCCCAAGAGGCCCCGAAAAAGGTTCCCAAGAAACCTCCGTGAAGCCCATGAGGCCCCAAAAGAGCTACAAGAAGCCACCGGAAGGTGCGCGAGAGGCCCTCAGGAGCAACGTGCACCAGCAGCCAGTTCCTCAAGGGGCCGCCGGTGCGTATACGGGGAGACGGCCGAAGGGCCGCTCCTGCGCGGGGTCCGTTGGTAAAGTTTTTTTTTTTTTTTTTTTTTTTTTTTGCCTGGGTACTGCGCAGCGAGCAGCGCGCCAGGTTCAGCTTACCAATGCCTGAGTCAGCGCAATTGCGGAAGGAACGCAATAGGGAAGCGGGCGGACTTCACGCGCGCCCCCCGCCCCGAAGCCCACCGGCACCCGATGGCCTCGGGCCCGCGGGAGACAACGGCGGGGATCGGGAACAGGAGCGCGAGGTCCACTCGCAGCCCCGTTGCATGCACCGCCCCTCCAAACGAGGGGGCACTGGCTAGCGAGGTGGGGAGGTAACTAAGCCCGCCGCGCGGGGTACTTAGGAATATTTACCCAGCTTAGCGGGCCCTGGATGCGCCCCCCAAAAACGCTTCGGCATTCCGGGGCGATGCTCCGTCACCGCAGGAGACAGGGCTCGGAGAGCAATGGGGGAGACAGAGCAGGAAGGGGTGGCGCCCTCATCCCTCGATGCAAACGTGGCCACCGACGCGACGCGCGCACGGGTAGCGTCGGGTCGAGATGTGACGACAACCCGATCGTGGTAACGCCATCTCTCATTCACGGGGCACTCCAGGCCCAAAGGACTGTAGGGCCCTCCAGGCCCGAGTTGAATAACATGTACATATAGCTGCGCTGAGAACTCCTCTCCGAGATTATGTCATGCATGATGTGAGGCACTCCAGGCCCCGAAGGTAAGGTGCAAATGACCGCGATGTGTGCTCTGGATCGGTCGTTCTCTGACGCCGTATCCTTACTCAAAAAATATTAATGACGTAACATTGGGCGTGTAAGTTTTCTGGCGGCCGACCCGCCTGGGTGCGTTGGTGTCGGATTGCCAGATTGTGTCGTAGGACTTTCGAATCAAAATGCAGTATGAAGACAACTATCTCTCGTCGACCATGCAGGCATCAGAATATCTCACAAGTATCACGCATACTATATGTAACGATTTCAGAACAAAATCCATAATCGATCCCAAAATATGCGCAGCAAGAGACGCAACAAAACTGTACATCAATATTCACCTCCGGTTCTCATACTAGCGCTCGTCCCAAACGGGAGAGCCATAATTGTTGAAACAACTGATGGTGATCGTCAGGTAGTTGTCCCATGACCAGATATACTCGTTGTCCTCGCCGTCGATGTAGACCCATTGGGACAGGAGGTCCGACCAGTGGCGGTAGGTGTCGTGCTGGTAGTGTTGCAGCCCGCGACGCCACCATGCGTGGGCGTTGCGGTACTCGCGCACGGTACTCTGACTACGGCCGCGATCTTCATCATAGTTGAGGTCGGGGCGCCTGGGTGGTGTCAACGGTCGGCGTGCTGTCGATGAATCTGCAACTCCGCCAGGCCCGTCCGCGGCGTCTCCCCGGCCAGCGCCGCCTGGAGCATAGGCGGGCGCGGGGCCATCGCGGCGCGGGAGTGGAGGAGCAGGGGTGAGCCGGACGGGTGGAGGAGCAGGGGTCAGGCGGACAGGCTCCTCGGTGGTGCATGGGATCATCTTTACTCTTGGACGCGGTGGACAAAGATCTTGCACTGGAGAAGCGTGGCGTGTCTGAGCGGAAACCGCGGCTGAAGCGGCACCAGGTGAGGTGCGTCGTGTACGGTCTGTGCGGATGTCCCCATCGGCAGGCGTAGAAGTGTGGCGATGGTCTGGAGGTTGGTGGTGGAGCTCAGCATCGCTGACGTGCGAGGTCAATGTAGCTTCGTTGGTCGTAGCGTTGTTCTAAATTTGTTGGACGCTCTGTTGGAGACCACGTATCTCGACGTTAGTATCGTGGGTCCGCTGGGAATACCTGTCCAGCCGTCCAGCCGGTGCTCGAAATCTCGGAGTCGTTGGTTGTGTGCTTCGCGCCCTTGTTCCAAATGGGCGAGCAGTGAGTCGGCCCGTGCTTTTTCAGCGACTCTTTCCAGGGAGATCTTGGTGAGTCGCAATTAACTGCACGTGGTCCGCCGCCTGCTGTACCTCGGCCATGCGGGCGTCGAGGGAGGCGAAATCGCAAATCGAAGTCGGGGTGCCCAGCTGATCCGTCTGGGTCCGTACAACGTGCAACTCAGCCAGCGCAGTCCGCAGCTGTGGGATCGGCTCCTCGACCTGGGAGACTCGGTTCTCAAGCGTTGGCACACGTCCCTCGAAAGCTTCAAGACGATGAGTGGGGGCCGTCTCGGCACCGCGCAGCTCGCCATCTAACTCAGACATGAGGGTGGCGTGGGTGGAGTGTATCGTAGCAGCGTGCCGTTGGACCTGGTCGCGAAGCGTATCCGTGTCATCGCGTAGCTGGGGGTGCGTCGATCCATGTTCCACATGTGGGGTCTGCCGTGCCATCAGGAGCTCATCGTGTAGTGTCCGGACAGCAGCAGTCCCAGTATCCGTGACGGTCACAAGCTGTGCCCCCGTCCGTGGGAGGTAGTCGCGAAGCGTCTGGATCGTGCTGGAGTCGGCACCTCGGTGTGACTCCATCTGGTCGACCTGGAATTGGACTTGAGAGATGATCGATCGATCATCGGCGGAATCCTCGGCGATCCTAGCATCGACCAAGGCAAGAGCGCGCTGAAACTCCTGTCTCACTGTGACCGTCTAAGCGGCCAGACCCGATAATTGTTGGGTCGTGTATGTTTCAACCTGGTCTCGATGCTCCACCATATCGCTGGCGGTTGGAGAGGATTGCGCGACAAGGTTGCGCAGCTGAGAGCCATGCTGGGAGCGCCGCTGTGAGGGGCTGCGGCCGGCGTCTCAGCGAAGGAGGGTGGTGAGACAGCAGGCGTAGTGAAGCCGAAGGTCGGCTCCGACGACAGACGTGACAACTGCGGGTGTAGCCACCGACGGGTCGGATGTATCAGGCCCCGCGGGAGGCGAATCCAGCCGTTGTCGCGAGGGGCGTGGCGTGCGGGAGGGAAGCGGCGGAGACGTCGGATAATCAGGTAGACATTCCCCGAGAGCCGCCGCAAGAGACGCGGCACTGCCGTCGCCTGAGAGGGGGGGAGATGGGCGTCATAGTTTCTTGTGCCCTCTCCATGATGCCATTGCTAGCATACGCCGTCGAGGAGAACGCACGCTTGAAGGCAACACAACGAAGTGGTGACGCCAAGCGGCGGAATCCAAGATGACGCGAATGGCAACAACAAGAAGCGGTTAAGAGAAGGCTGATAGCCTGTGTATACAGGGAGACGGCCGAGGGGCCGTTCCTGTATGGGGTCCGTTGTTAGAGGTTTCTTCTCCTGGGCACTGCGCAGCGAGCGGCGCACCAAGTTCAGTTTACCAGTGCCTGAGCCAGTACAGTTGCGGGAGGAATGTAATAGGGAACTGAACGGACTTCACACACAGGCGGTGCGGCGTAAGCCCAAGAATCACTATGTGTTCCCGAGGTTTTGAAGGCTGGCTGTTCGTGCTCTCGCCTTTTCGGTTTGTCGACCCTTTGAGACTGCCTAATACAGCCCCGAGACTGCCTCAAGGTGGCCAAAGAGGCCCTCAAGCGCATCCCCAGACGGTTCAAGATGGCCCCAAGAAGGCCCAACAAACCCCAAAGACGGCCCAAGAGGGTCCCCAGAGGGGGAACACGAACCGACATTTCGAGCCCTTTGCCCCATGATGGGGGACCGCCAGCAGACCCCCGAGAGGCCCCCCACAAGCTCCAGGAGGCTCCCAACATTGCCCAAATCAGGCGAAGAGGCCCCAAAGGCACCCGAATCCAATACCCAAGAAACTTCTGAAAAGGCCTCCCAAGAGATTGCGACAGGCATCCCCAACGCCTCTGACCTACAACCCAGGCGCGGTGGCGGGATGGGGCGAAGGTAACCAAATATCTAAACAGGCAACCGTTGCACATGACCGGTTCATACATGGATTCCCTCCAAAGACAAGCCCTCTGCTTCAATATTTGGATAAACCTGCCAGGTCATTGCCCTCGCGTGGCCGCGCGAGAACTGGCCCCTCGGCATCCGCGATTCGAGCCAACATTGACATGGAGACAAGCGAGGAGAAACGGAGTGGGGCGGGAATATCGGAGGACAAGTGACGATGATCGCAACATCCCAAGCCGCATTACTTACGAGTCTAGCGTGTTATAAGGGAAAACCACATAAACATGAAACAGGAAGAGGGGCGGGGAGGACGGGACTGATGAGGACAAACGATCGGGGAGACGGGCCCAAGGGGGGCATCGAGCTAGAATCGGCGATGCACCGCCAATAGATCGGCGATCGGGCCCCGACAGCAAACCCGCACGTTCCAGGGCGGGGTGGCCAATCCGGTCCCCTATCGGCGATGAGAGGGCGATTGGGGGTCGATGCACTCCCTCCTGGGCCTATCCCCCCTGACGTTGCCACGTGGCTTTCGGATCATAACTCGGCTCTCTGGCGGCCGTTCAGGACGACCCGGGCACCCCCGGGAACGCTCTCAGCGAGGCGCAGCTGCTGGAGAGCATCCCGAGGCCAGACAACTGCCGAGATCAGACGAAAACTCCCGAAAACCTAAAACCTCGACCTTCGAACCTGTTGTCTTCCCCCTATCGTTGCCCCTCGTTCTCCACTGCCACCACCTCCCGCCAGCGGCCCCACCGGCACGAGCTCGTTGGCCGCGACCACGACGGGAGGGCCACAAGCTGGAAAAACCGCAATGAACCTATGACAACGCCCGATCGTTGCTGCCGAGAGGGATGGGCGGAGGAAAGAGTCGGCGGCAGCGGCGCGGCCAGCGGGCCTTGTCGATCAAGCCTGCGACCCGCCCGATCCTCGGGCGCGCCCCCTCCTCTACGCTGTGGCCCCCTGCGGAGACCGAGCATCCTGAGAACGCGCGTGAGCGCCAGCGTGTACTTGGCCACCAAAGCCCTCCGGTGCGACGCAGGAGCTTAACGGGATAAACGCATACACGCTGGGCTGACACGCGTCCAGAGGATCATCGAAGGGAGAACTCCTCCCCCTCCCACTTCCCCTCCCCCCTCCCCCTCCTCCTCCTCCGCCTTCGCCTTCTCCTCCTCCTCCTCCTGTTTCTCCTCCTCCTCCTCCTCCTCACTACTCCTCCTCCCCTCCTCCCCCTCCCCCTCCTCCTCCCCCTTCTCCTTCTCCTCCTCCTCCTGTTTCTCCTCCTCCTGTTTCTCCTCCTGTTTCTCCTCCTCCTCCTGTTTCTCCTCCTCCTGTTTCTCCTCCTCCTGTTTCTCCTCCTCCTCCTGTTTTTCCTCCTCCTCCTCCTCCTCCTACCCCCCCCCCCCTCTTTGCAAGTGTCGCCCGTGGTCGATGAGCGGCGCTTTCTGCTCGTGCCTGGCGCGCGGCCCCGTCGACCACGGATGGTGCTCATGGTGGCCCGGGCCTCACCTCGGGCCCTCCTCGTGCTCCGCCTCCGTCCCGCAAGCACGAATCGGGTCGGGCGAAAGGGGGGGATAGCAAAGGGGGGGTTTGAGAATCAGCTCACGTAACTGATTTTCCCGGCGCCTCCCGGCGCCGGAAGCGGCTATGTATCGAGGAATGGGCCCCTCGGTGAGGCCGAAACCAGCTGCATGCAGCAAATTTCGTACCCCCCCCTTTCCCAATCCCCCCCTTTCGCCCGGCCCGAACGAACACCATAGAGGGCAACATATCCACCCCCACAGTAACCACCCCGACCAGCGAGGCCGTTTAGTACACGCGCCCAAAGAAGGACTGGAACAGGGCAAGGCCGTTCAGTAGACGCCAATTGTCCGGTCTGGGCGGCTTATCCTCCCTTGATTGGAGGGCCGCGGGGAAGGTGGTGCGCAACTTAGCCCTTAGCTCTCGCCCCACGGGCCTGGCCGTGCTTTTCTGCGGCCCTTCCTCCCCTGCTGCTGCTGCTGCTGCTGCTGCTTCTGCTGCTGCTGCAACCGGTGAAATTCCAAGAAATCCGCGCGGAGCTTCGACAGTTTATGTTTAGGGCGTTCTTCGGGTATGCGAATGGGGGTGCGAGTGGGGATAAGGGTCGCTGAACTCCCGCTGCAAACGTCCCACGAAAACGGGACCGTCAAAATCCAGGACGCGCTCGTCAAAAAGCGTCGGCAAACCCGAGTTCCGGCGCACTCGAGTCTTGAGCTTCCCCGTTAGGGGTCGCTGAAACGATACTGACTTGTCTACAAATTCATCTTTCGCGCCCCCTGGCGGAGCGCCCGCGCTGCCCGCCGGCCGCGCCCCTCCGGAACTGGATGCTGGCGGCGGAGCCCGGCGTGGGACGCGGCGTGGCGTCGAGGGACGACCTCGGCGGGCGCTCGCGCGGGGTTGGGTCCCGGGGTTCTGAAGCTCCAACCTACTTTAGCCTTGATCACCAGAAAGAGTCTCGAGCACCAAAAGGAAAAAAGGACACTCGAAGGTTTTCACGTGTCGGGCCCTGGGAGACACTCGTCCGACACTGTTTCGACACTTTTCCGGGTGCTCGAAATTATTTCTGGGATGTGGTCCTTAAGTGTGACGGGAGCAACATAACCTGGGGGGGGTCCTGGGGGAGGTCCTGGGGGGGAGTCCTGGGTCAGAATGCTGGTCCCCCCCTTCCATTTTCGGGCCGCCTACGGGCAACTTCGGCCCTCCTTAAGGCACATCAGGTCCACGACGCTCCAAGAGAGGCCCAGGGTCGCGGCAGGCTCGCGTCCATGACACCCTGGCGCCCCGACGTCGCGTTCTTTTCGCAACGTCGACCCCCAGAGTCGGGCGGGTGCCAATGGGGTGTGACCCACATGGAGGGTGAGGACAAGGGCGCTAAAAGGGGCCCTTCAGGGCTCCTTTAGGGCACCTGCTGGCGCCAAAAGGGGCCCAAAAAGGCTCCTGTTCTTCACCCCCCATCTGGGCCACCCCCCCCTTAGCATCCGCCCGACAAAGGCCTCGACCCATTCCCCGGGACCGGCTTCCCATCCCGAATCGTGTTCTCACGCTCCCGAGGCCCCCTTCTCAAAACTCTCGGCGCCGGGCCCCCGAGGGGGCCCCCCTGGGGGCGCCAGTCCGAGGCATCATCCGCGCGGCCCCTCCGACAGTCTACGCTCACGCAACCCTTCCTGCCTCGAGCCTCCGCCCGTCCCCCCCCTTCGGAGAGCTCAGCATCGACATCGCATCGACAAGGCATATCGGCGATCGACATGGATCGGATCGGTGGAAGTCGGCAGCCGAGTCCGGGAAAGTCGAATCGGCGGAGATCGGCATGTAGGTCTCCATGGGAAAATCGGAGCCCAAATCGGACTCCGAAAACAAATCGAATCGGAACTGGAAGCCATCGAAATCGAACCAAATCGAATCGGAAGGTTCGAAATGAGTCCTGCCCCCCCCGTTCCTCGTAGGGGTCCCAAAACGGTGCGGTGACAGACCGTGACATGACCTTGAAACCCTATAGTCGACCCGGATAGTAAGGACGATGCAAGGGCCTTGGAAGGCCATGCCGACGCCTTGGGGGCGGGGCGCGGCCAGCGAAAGCGGTCAGGGATGGGCCGAGGATGCAAGGATGCAAGGGTACCCTTGGGAAGGTTGCCCATCCTTACTATGCGGGTTGACTGCAAGAGAGAGACCTCAAACGTTCGGCGGCGAGCCCCAGTAGGAAGTAGGACGGCCTTCTGAGAAGATCCTGGGCCTGTCTCGAAGACGCAGGAAACTTCTCAGAGGGCCGGAGGGCTTCTGAGAAGCACCGCCGCCTTCTGAGATAGCCTTCTTCTTCTCACTTCCCCCCCTCGCCCTCCCGCCGAGTATAGGTTTTTTTGGGGGATGCATCGCCCCCATATCGCCCCGTTAGCCCACACTTCCTCCTCCCCCTGTTCCTCCTCCTCCTCGCGGCCTCCTCATCCTGAACCTCCTCGCTGCCTCCTCCTCATCCTCCTCCTCGCCACCTCCTCCTCTTTGTGCGTTGGCCAGACCTTACGCTCACGCATGTGGCGTTCTTCTTCCTCCTCCTCCTTCTCCTCCTCGTCCTCATCTTCCTCCTCCTCCTCCTCCTCCTCCTCCTTCTCCTCGCTACCTCCTCCTCCTCCTCCTCCTCCACTTACTCCCTCCTCCTCCTCCTCCTCCTGCTATTCGCTATCCTCGCTACCTCCTCCTTCTCCTCGCTACCTCTGCCTCCTACTCCTCCTCCTCCTCCTCCTCCGCCTCCTCCTCCTCGCTACCTCTGCCTCCTCCTCCTCCTCCTCCTCCTCCTCCTCCTCCTCCTCCTCCTCCTCCTCCTACTCGCTACCTCGTCATCCTCCTCCCCTCCTCCTCCTCCTCCTGCGATGCCGAAAGAGGGGCTCGCGCCACGGAGCCACGTCCTCCTGCTACGCCTGCTCCTCCACGTCTTCCTTCTCGTCCTCCTCCTGGTCGTCGTCGTCGTCGTCCTCCTCCCCCTCCTCCTCCTCCTCCTCCTCCCCCGCCTCTTACTCCCTCCTCCTCCTTCTCCTCGGTCCTTCTACCTCTACCTCCTCCTCCTCCTCGCTGCCTTCTCCTCGCCGCCTCCTCCCTGACTGCTGAAGACGGGGCTCGCGCCCTGGAGCTCCCCGCCGCGGGCGACCTCTGCGTCCCGATCAGCGAAGCGCTGGGCGTCTCCACGGCCGCGCGGGGCCGCCTCGCGGCGTCGCCGGGGACCAGTTCCACTCCCTGTCGTCCTCTTCCTCAGATCCTACAAGCCTTGTAAGACGAAGCCAGGACGAAGACAAACATGCAGATTCAGCCACACAACGTCCAGCTCGCTTCTCGTACCTCGAAGACGCTTCCTGTCATCCGCCGACCCTGTCGGCGTGTGTGAGGGGCTTGTCTGTTCGAGTCGTCGTCTCCGCCAGTCGTCGTCTCCGTCGCCCCCTTTCCCTGCACCCTCCTCCTCAAGCTTGTCAGCGAGAGAAGAGTCGAAGGGAAATCCATTACCTTTGATCTCTCCCCCGTCTGGGGGGGTGATCCCAGGGGGGGGGCAGATACGCATCCCCCCCTGGGGGCCCTAGGGCCTCAGAAAGTACCAAGACAGGCCAAGAGAGCCCCAAGAGGCCACCGAGACGGTCCAAGAGGGTCCCCAATCGCCAGACGATCGGTCCAAAACGCCTTCACGCCCTCCAGACTGCCTAGGAGGCCTCCAGGACGCCCCAAGAGCACTCCCGAGAGGGCCCCAAGAGGCCAAAGTCATTGATTCCCATTTTTTTGGGGGGGGGAAACAAAAACGATTTGGGCGTTCTCGCCTTTTCCACTTCCCGTCGCTCCAAGACGGCGCAGGAGGCCCCAAAGATCGCCCCAAGACGGCCCAAGAGGTCTCCAAGAGGGAGCCTCAAACAGCCCAAGAGGACCCCAAGATAGCCCAAAACGCCTCCAAGACGGCCGAAGAGGCCCCCAAGACGTCTCCAAGAGAGTGCCCAGAAGGGGGACCCGAACGGACACTTCGAGCCCTCGGACCCAAGAGGCTCCCAGGAGGCCCCAAGAGGTTCCCAAGAGGCCCATAAGAGGTCCCCAGGAAGCCCGAAGAGGCCCCCGAGAGGCTCCTAAGAGGCCCCCCAAAGGCTCTCACGAGGCCCCAGAATTCCTTCCCTGAGGCCCCCGAGAGACTTCCGAAGAGACCCCAAGAAACATCCCTGAGGACTCTGGCCCACGTCAGCGTCGTCGTCGCCGCCGCCGCCGTTGTCGTCGTCGTCGTCGTCGTCGTCGTCGTCGTCGTCGTCGTCTACCTGCAAGGTCGGCGGCCACGGCCGTAAGGCCTTCGCAATCGGGCGAGGATAAATCGAGAATCCCTGAGATCCCGCAGCTCTGGAGGATGCATCGGGCGCCGCGGCCTTCTCAGCGCCTTCTGGAACGCTCTGAAAGCGTTATAGAGGCCTCCTAGATGGGGTCCGAGTAGATGGGGTCGGAGGATCTCGCCGCATCGCCGATACATCGACAATGCATCACCGATTTGGCGTTGTGTCGGCGATTCATTGGCGACGTCGGCGTGGATAAAATTGGGCCCCACATCGAGCCAGATCGCCGATGCATCGCCGATGCATCGGCGATGCGGCGCGATCTTCTGACCCCGTCTACTCCGACCCCATCTAGGAGGCCTAGAGTTCAGGAACGCTCTGTACTGGATTATTGTCGTCCTAGCCCCGTCCGATACCCCTCCTCCTCAAAGATCCGGAATCTTCTGACCCGGGTCAATCCAGACCCGGGTCAGTCAGGCCTCGCAGAATCCTGCAAGATCCTGCAAGATCCTGCGCCCCAACCCAGGTCAACGCGAAAGATCCTGCAAGATCCTGCAGGATCTTGCACCCAAGCCCGGGTCAATGCGGCCCTGGCCAGGATCCTGCGCTCTGGTTGACCCCCGTTTGCATTGACCCCCGTCGCGAGGCTCCCGAGAGGTTCTCGTCGATGCTCGGCGGTCTTCCAGCCTCGGGCTGCTCTCCGACAGCTGCGCCTGGCCGAGAGCCTTCTGGTGGGGCAACCGGACCATCCCGAACAGGCGCCGGATGCCCGATTGTAAGCGTTTCAAGCGTTTCTTTCTTCGGCGTTTCGACATTGGGCGGAAAAAGGGGGGGGTCTGGCTCTGGACGTCTGTTTAATGCGACTGTTTACAACAGGGCGCCCATTATGGGGGAGGCTCCACCCGCTCGAAACAGGCGCCAAAAAACAGCCAAGATCCACTCCAAGGGAGGGGGATGGGGGGGTTTGGGGGCCCGCGCCGATCGGCAAAACAATGAGTAAAAAACGATCACACTAAGGGCCCGAACGCCACCTGCTTATCGCTTTCTTCTTCCTTATCCCTCCAAGACTCCCCCGCGTGGTGATCTCTTCACGGCGATCGGTTCTTCACCCTGGCTCTCCTCTCTTTCGAAGGAGGCCAGGCCTCTGGGCGTCTACGTCGTGCACAGAATCTCGACGTCAGAGGTCAGAGTCTTTCCCCTCCCACTCCTCGCCCCTCTGCCCTGAGAGGGCCCAGGGACACACACAAACGAATAGACACTAATCTCAGGATTCCCCATATTTCCAATATTTTCTGGATATGCGTCTCCCCCTTCCACCTCCCATATTTTACATATTTGCACTGGACTCGACGATTATTTGTGTGTGTTTCTTCCCTCCGGTTCCTCACCCCTCTCCTCACCCTTATTCCCCATGCCCTTCTCCTCCCACTCCTCTCGGGCGGGTGGTAATGGGGGGTGACCTAACTTGGGGGGTGAGGGAAAGGGTCCTGAAGGGGTCCTTTATGGCTCATGCTGGCTCCAAAGCAGGCCCCAAAGGGCCTCTTTGGGGCCCTTTCCTTCATCCCCCATGTAGGTCACCCTCCATTGCCACCCGCGCGATCTTCCCTGTCCTCTTGTGTTTCTGGCTTCTGCCAGGGGCGAACAGTTTGCCGTACCAAACGTGATACACAAGCAGGCGCCCGCCGAATTTGGGCACACATGCCAGCAACATACCGCTCGCTTTCGCGTGTCCCCTCCTCCTTCCTCCGTCGCCCTCCTCCTCCGCCCCCATGCTCAAGCAATATGGAGCCGAGCATTCTGCCGAGCCCGATTTCTCTGCCTGCACGTCGGTGCTGGAGGGCCTGTACCCGCGCGGCGCTCCCTCGTTCTGCTCCTGGCGTCGATGGACACAGAAGTCTAGATCAGACGGGTGCCTCTTGTCTTTGGTGTCATTGCGGTGGGTGCGGTCGCTGCGAGTGGAACCGACTGTCTCATCGATCCCAGCTGCGTCTGCCAGCGCTGCAACAGAAATGCTGAGTTTCAGTCGCCTGGCCCAGGCCGTGTGGCCGATCGCCGGCAGAGTCACGGCCAGTGTAGCACATCGGCAGCTAGTAATTAAGGCCCAGGGCGGCAAGTGCAAGGATGCGAGCACGGCAACTTGAAACGCCGACGGACGTGCCCTCCTCGCTCGAGCTGCCGCCGCAGGGGGCACCAGGCACGGACTTGGAGGCTGTCCTTCCGGCGCAGGCGAGCCAACTTACCACACCCACGCCGTCGGAGGGCGCCGCTGCGGCATTTGAGCAGGGACCGACCGTCCCGGCATTCCTTCAGGCCTACCACGTAGTGTTCGTAGAACCCAGAAGTGCCCTGAGAACAAAAACAGCTTTCTCAGAACATGATGGTCTTAGAACAAAACACTGCTTGGTAGGCCTACAGGCAGGCCAGGACGCTTCGCCACTGCTTGAGGCATGGAAGCGCGCTGTGGGCGGGCGGAAGGAGCTGCGGGTCACAAGCGCGCTTGGTTGTCGCGGGCAAGGGCCTGGCCGCTGGCCGTTCCGGGTCCTCCGCGGGCGCGCGCGCTTTCCCCGGCAAGGAGGTCACGAGCGCTCGCTCTGGCCAGCGGCCGCAGGACGGTCAGGCAGCGGTCGAGCAGCGGCGGGGCGCGCCGAAGCACCGCGAGGCACACGGCAACGGGAGCGCGGAGGTCGCAAGCGCACGCCGGCGGCAGCCTGGGTGGTGAGGACCCCCAGGAGGGCCTCGACGTCGCCTGAGAGGCGCGAGCAGGCCGCGGCACTCGTGCCCGCCCCGGGCGGGAAGGCCAGGAGGGGCGGCGACCCGAGGCGATGGCGCGCGCTGGGGGCACTGGAGTTGCCACGCCCTCGGCACTCAGGAATCACGCCGCGCCCTCGACACTCAGGAATCACGCTCTCGCTGTGGATGTTTGACGCTTTACTTGTCAATCGCGCTATCGCTCGAGAATTCCTCGGGTGTCATGCATAACGCACGCGTTGCAAACCTCATGGGCGCTTTCATGATCAATGTGTTGTTGCTGTCGCTGTCGCTGTCACTGTTGCAGTTGCTGCTGTTGTTGCAGCTGTTGCTGTTGCTGCTGTTGCTGTTGTTGTCGTTGTTGTCGTTGTTGTTGTTGCTACTGCTGCCGTTGTTGTCGTTGTTGTGGTTGTTGTAGTGGTTGTTGTTGGTGGTGTTATTGCTGTTGTTGTCGTCGTCGTTGTTGGTGGTGTGGTGATGGTGGTAGCGGTTGTTGTTCTTCAAGTTTCAACGTTCGGTCCTGGGTCAACCAGGAAGGGAGACAAGCTGCTGCCCAACACATGACAAGCACGGCAACACAGAACGGAACCGAACCGAGAACGGCGCGACCGAGAATCCCGAAACAGAAACAAAGAAGCACGGATCCAACAACGGAAAGCACGTCGATCTTGAAAACGAGCAACAGCACACACGTTTGAAACATCATTTCAGACCCCGCCCATCGAGGGCGCGGACAGGCGCCGCGCTCCCAAGTTCTCGCTCTCCTGGGATCGCATCTTGTTCCAAGGTATCGAGGATTTCGAGTGGGAGGATTCACAAAGGGAGCGATCTGAAGGAAGGTCAAGCCAGAGTTGTGGAGAGCTGGCAGGGTCTGCGCACCAGCAGGGAGGCAGAGGTCACGGCCATGGATGGCCAGGGCGGAAGCAGTACGGGCAGCCGTGGCCGATCGCCTGGACGAAACGCTCAAGCTTGTGCTCGCTCATGAGGCAAGGAGGGCGCAGGCGCAGGCAACGGCGAGCCAGGCCCCCCCCAGCAGCGCCCGCTGCCGCCGCCGAGTCCGGCAGCGCGGCGATGACCGTGGATACGCCAGTCGCCGCGGGAAAGATGACGAGCTCGCCCTCGCGACCGCGGGCGTCTCCACCGCCATGCTGGCTGCTCAGAA